AGGGGGAGGATGTTGGGGTGGGTGTATGGTAGGAGCTACCTGGCTTGAGGCTGTTGGGGGTCAGCATGAGGTGAAGACTGTTGGGATGGGGGCATCAGAGTGGTGACCATCACAGTGGAGGTGATCATGGTAGACATGGGGTGAAGGCCATCAGGAGGGAGGGCTGGGATAAGTCTGAGATGGGAGATGATTGGGGTAGACATGGGGCAGAGGCCATCGGGTGGATGCTGCTGGGATGGGCACAGGGTGAAGGCCACCAGAATGGATATCCTGGTGTGCGTGTGAGGCAGAGAGCATTGGGATGGAATCTGTTGGGTGGACACGATCGGGTGGAGACTCTTCAGTGGACGTGGGATGAAGGCCACCGGACGGAGACCCTGGGGCGGGCACAGGGCAGCACTGATGGGGTATTGCTGACCCCATCCCTGCACAGAGGACCCGTGGGGGTGGACGCAGTGGCTGTGGCCCACTCTGGCCTTCTGGGCACTGAACGTGGCGCTGGTGCTGGGGGCGGTGGTGCGGCTCTTCGTCTGCGGGGAGCCCGTCACTCGCCCGCACTCCGAACCCTCCATCCTCTTCTGGCGGCACCGCCGGCAGGCCGACCTCGACCTCGACCGGGTACGTCCCGCCGTGTGCCATGTCCCCTGCCCCACCTGCCCCACCTGCCCCACCTGCCCCACCTGCCCCACCTGCCCCACCTGCCCCGTGCCCTCATCCTGCCCACACCCACCCCATCTCTCTGGGCCGCAGGGAGACTTCGCGCAGGGGGCCCAGCACCTGCGGACGGCGCTCGGGGCGCTGGGGCGGCCGCTGCCGGCGTCCCACGGGGACCTGGCCTGCAGCCTGCTCTGGACACTCCTGCGCCACCTCCTCCAGCGCCTCTGGGTGGGTCGCTGGCTGGCTGCCCGCGCCGGGGGGCTGCGCCCGGACCCGCCGCCCCCTGCCCACGTCCGCCAGAGCGCCCGCGACGCTGCCATGGCTTATCACCGCCTGCACCAGCTGCACCTCGCCGGTATGGCCCTGTGCCACGGGGCTGAGGGACAGCACCCCTGTGCCCCCCGTGTGTCCCCACAGCCCCCGGCCCCATGCTGAGCCTCCCGTCCCCGTTCTCATAGGGAAGCAGGCTGGGGGACATCTGCTAGCCATCAACCTGGCACTGAGCGCCGTCAACCTGGCTGAGTGCGCTGGTGACGCCATCTCCGTGGCAGCGCTGGCCGAGATCTACGTGGCGGCTGCCCTGCGGATCAAGGCCAGCCTGCACCGCTGCTTCCACTTCCTGGCGGTGAGTGTGGGGCACTGGGGTGTCCCCTGTGTCCCCTGGGACTGTGTCTCAGGTCCTTCCTGACCCCCCGCTCTCCCCGCAGCGCCCCTTCCTCTGCAGTGCCCGGCGCGTGGCCCTGTCCCACGGTGGGGCCGTGCCCCCCGCCATGCAGTGGCTCTGCCACCCCTTGGGCCACCGCTTCTTTGTGGACGGGGACTGGGCGGTCAAGGGTGTCCCCAGGGAAACCATCTACAGCTCCGCCGGCAACCCAGGTGACCCCAAGCTCCTGAGCCCCGCACCCCAAATTTGGGGCTGTGTGTACATACCTGCTGACCCCATCTCTGTGCCCCAGTGGACCCGCTGGCGCAGGTGACCCAGCTCTTCCGTGAGCACCTCCTGGAGAAGGCGCTGTGCTGCGTGGCCATGCCTGAGCCCGGCCGTGCCACTGCCCAGGGAGAGGGGTGAGTGCTGGGCTGGGCCCCTTCTCCCCCTGCCTGCCGTGGGGCCAGCCCCCTCACAGCCCCTCTGCACAGGCGGTTCTCCGACGCCCTCGAGTACCTCCAGCTGCTCAACGGCTGCTCGGATGTCAGTGGCACGCCCGGCCCCACACCCTCCATCACCTCCGGCTTGGCGGCTGTCACAGGTGAGGCTGGCGTGCCCCCCATTGGGGTCACTTCACCTGGGGGGCCATGGGAGTGGAAACACCCTGCTCCTGTGTCCCTCCTGCCCCGCAGGCACTGACCCCGTGTCCAAGTGGTGGGCGTCCTTCATTGGCATCGTTATCCACTGGCTGCAGGGAGATGAGGAGGGGGCTGAGCGCCTCTACCCACTGGTGGAGACCATGCCCCGGGCACTGCAGAGCTCTGAGTGAGTGCTGGGGGTGTCGGGGACAAGGGTGGCACCTCATTGCCTGCCTCTCTCCCCCCTTGCACTGGCACAACCTCTCTGAACACACTTGGAGCACCTGGTGTGTATTCAGGAGGGGTGCAGCCATGCACAGCGAGGGATCTGCGGTGACCATGTCCCCTCCACCTTGCAGGAAGCCCCTTCCCCGTGCTGCCCTGCACTCTTTCCGAGCTGTCCGTGCCTTGCTGAGCAAACAGGACGGGAGCCAGGCCACCCTGGGCCACTGTGAGAAGGCCAGCAGCTGCCTGCGGGAGAGCCTGGAGCTGGGCAGCCCCCCCAAGGGCACCATCGACAAGGTGAGCTGGGCTGGGGAGGGACGAGGTGGCCGCGAGCCCCCAGCCCTGGCGGGAGGTGCCCCCGACCCTCGCGGGGGTGCATTGTAGTTGCATTGCATGTGTCAGACTGGGAGTGCAATGCCCCTGCCATGCAGCCCGGCGGGGGTCCCGCGCAGCAGCGCCTGCCCGCAGCGACCCCCTCGGCACCCCCATCCTCCGTCCCACCCCCTGCTCACCCCGATCCCCTTGTCCCTGCAGGCGGTCCAGCTCCTGCTCTGCGACCTGCTGCTGGTCACCCGCACCAACCTGTGGCAGCAGCAGATGGGGGCGAGCCAGCAGCGCAGCTGCCTCTACCAGGCGTCCGCCCTGGAGCTCCGCGGCTTCCAGCAGGACCTCAGCAGCCTGCGGCGCCTGGCACAGACCCTGCACCCCGCCATGCGCCGGGTGAGCCCCCAAACCGTCACCTGACAGGTCCCCTGGTGTCCTGCAGCTGGCTGTGCTCACTGTCCCCCCCCAATCCAGGTGTTCCTGCACGAAGCCACTGCCAGGCTGATGGCCCGGGCCAGCCCCACGCGCACCCACCAGCTGCTGGACCGCAGCCTGCGCAGGAGAGGGGTGCAGGGCAGCAAAACAGGTGGGCACAGGGTGGGACACACAGAGGGACACCTCACTCCTCACCTGCAGCACCCCAGCAGCTTTTGTTTGGGATATGCGGTGGGACAGGGATGGGACACGTTGCTGTGCACTCGAAGTACCCCAGCACGCTGGGTGGTGGGACATGGGGTGGGATACCTTGGTCACCACCTTGGAGGATGGGAAATGGGGTGGGGCACCCTGCCCCACACCTCCAGCAGCCCTCACAAGTGTTGGGTAGTGAGACACAAAGTGGGAACCCCCATTCTGCACCCACAGCACCCCACCAACCTTGGATGATGGCATATGGGGTGAGCCATAGGGTGGGACACCCCTTTCCCACCTGCAGCACCCCAAGAGCTGGGATAGTGAGCTCCCAACCCCTCCACTGGTGGTGGCACCAGCTCCAGAGTGGGCAAATAACCCCATCCTCGTGCGGATCCCTGAGATTCACTCAGTCACTGAGATTTAGCCGTGACTTCCATGGGCGCCCTCGGTGCTGACCTTGGCTCTGTCCCCTGCAGCTGGCGAGCCAGAAAGCCACCCCAGCCCTCGGGAACAGGCCGAGGCGCTGCTGCTGTCCTGCTGCTACCTCCCACCCACCTTCCTGGCGGGCCCGGGCCCACGCGTGGGGATGCTGGCCGAGGCCGCCCGCACGCTGGACAAGCTGGGCGACCGCCGCACGCTGCACGACTGCCAGCAGATGATCATCAAGCTGGGCAGCGGCACCACCGTCACCTCGGGATAGGTGGGGAAGGGGCCGCCAGCCCCCCCTGCCCACCCCCGTGGGTGCGGGATGTGGGGTGGCAGGAGTGCCTCAGTTTCCCCGCGGGGTGATGTTAGGCAGCGCTTTTAGGGGTGAAGGGGGTGGGTGGGGAGGGGTCGGGTGATGTCTGAGGGGGTCCCGGGGTGGGGTCCCCCCCCCTCCCACGGCCGTGTCCGTGTCCCCGGCCCGCGTGGGGCACGGCCGTGGGGCCCTCTAGTGACGTGTCGCAGTATTGCAGGGCACCGGCGGGCGAGGCGGCGACCCCCGGGGACACCGGCACCCCCATCCCGGTGTCACCCGATCCCCCCCGGTGCCACCGCCCCCCACCCCCGGTGCCACCCGACCCCTCTGGTGTCACCCGTATCCCCCGGTGTCACCCGTACCTCCTGGTGCCACCCGCAGCCCGCCGGTGCCACCTGCCACCCCCCCTCCGGTGCCACCAGACCCCTCTGGTGTCACCCATCCCCCTCCGTACACACACTGGGGGCCCCTCCTGGCCCCCCGTGGGTCCCACGGCTGCAGCACCCCTCGAGTTTGGGGTTTGCTTCTGGGGAAGTGCCCCCTGCCCAGCCATGCCCGTGGAAGGAAGAGGGGACCCCCACCCCTATCCTCCTCCCCCCCCCCCAGTACAGAGCTGCCACCAGCCCGGAGCACGGACAGGCTTTGGGAGAAGGGATGCCAGGGTGGCACGGGGCTCCTGGGGGGCTGGCGGGTGCCCCTGTGTCCTTGCTTCACCCCCTCTTGTACATAGACCCCCTCCCCTCGCCTCCCCCCACATCCCCTTTTCCCTTTTTAAACGGTATTTTCATAGTCGGAGAGTTTTGTACAGACAATTAAAGCTGATTATTTATACTGGTGTGTGCTGGATTGCAGCGGGACCGACACCACAAGTGGGGGACAAGGGGCCCCCCACAGCTATGGGCGCCTTGTCCCCACAGGGCTGCACGGGAGGGGGGGACAGGGGTGGCAGGGATGGGGACACCGGGTGCTGAGGGACCCCAAACACCCCATCTTTACCCCGACGGGCGCTGTCCCCATACCCCATCCCCTCCAGCGAGACCTTTGGGGACAAAGGACCAGGCAGGGACTGTCACATCTCTGGGGGGACCCCAGCAGCCCCCCAAGGATAAAGAGAGGCCACGAGCAGGGCGCCACGTACTTCCAAAACAATCGTTGTATCTTTATTGACGCTCTGAATGCAATGACCTGTTTTTTTACTCTTAAGGAAAATAAACATCTTTTAGAAACAGCTTGTTACACACAATCTTCAGTGTGAAGCAATATACTAATAAGAACACTAGTCTTAACATTTACAGTCTTCATATATATTATATATATGTATATGTATACATATATATACACTATATAATGAGGCAATATATAATACACACGGTTTACCATTTTACAGTCATATGTACAAGATGTCACTAAAAATAGCCAGATTTCAGGCAACACTGCCAAGGACACGGGATTTTTTTTTTCTTCTTTAAATTAATTTTTTTATTATTATTATTATTATTATTTCTACCTTTTTTAAAAATTGTTTTTCTCACCTCCTCTTTTTGTTTTTCACTCCTGTGTCCGAGGCAGCTGCTGAAACAACAGACATTGTGTGGCCAGCAAACCTTGGGGTGGGTGGGATGGAGGGGACACAAGAGGCGGTGGGGACATGGGGCGCTGGCTCTGGGGGGGAGCAGCAGCGTGCCCCCCTTTGCAGGATGCTGCAGAGGTTGGGGTACAGCCAGTGGCTGTTTTTGGGGTGAGATTTGGATTTGGTTCACCCTGGGCTGGTTGCTACCTGTGTTGGTGTGCGGGTGACACAAAGGGAGGATGTGGGCAGGGGTCAGCAAAGTGTTGGGCAGTCCCCCAGCCCCACTGAGGTGGCCAGGAAGCAAAAGCTGAGGGAGCTGAGCAAACCCAGGGCAGTGAGGGGTGAGCCAGGCCCATGTGGAGGGAGGAAGCAAACACCTCCTCCTCCTCCTCCTCCAGTTGAGCACGCAGAGCTGTGGGGTTCAGCACAAGCACAGGGAGCAAAGCCCCCACAAGAGGAGCCACAGAAGGGGTGCTGGTGAAGCCAAGCACAGGCAGTTTTGGGGGGTCCTGGACAGCAGGAACCAGGTGTCCCCAGCCCAGCAGTGCCAGTGCCACATGGAGTGGGAGGGTGGGGGGTGCAATGAGTCAGGGTTTGGGATTTGGGAGAGGGGCTGGGGCAGCCTGGTGGATGCCCACCAGCCTGACCAAGCACCCTTAGCTCCCCAGTACCCTGGGTGTGGGTGGGGGCAAACAGGAGATGGAAGAACAAAACGGAAAAAGCAGAGTGGTGTTTCAAACAGCAGGCCGTTGTTTGCCTTTTTTTTCTTTTTTCTGTCTCATTTTTGTCTTTTTTTTTTGGTCTTTTTTTTAGTTTTTTTTTTAATCCTCTTCTTCGCTGAACTATATACAGACACCATGAGGTTTGCTGAAGGCAACATCTCAGATCAGATCAGTGTGATATTGAGAGCCGGGACCCACGGAGGGTCCGGCGGCCCCACAGTAAGACAACATCGCCGGGACCCCCCCTTGAACACGGACACCCCCCGCCCCCCTGTGCAGCCATCGCGGGTGGGAGATCCCGATCCGTCCCCCGCGTATCCAGACCGGGTTTTACCGGGACCCGGCGGGAGGGAAAGCCCGGCGCTGGCTCCGCCCGCCCGGAGCGGGCTCGGGGGGTCCCCGGTACACCGGCCCGGCCCCGCTCTGCTCCAGGCGCTGCCTCCTCTGCCGGTCCCTCGCTGGCGGCGGGGCGGGTGCCCGCGGGGCTACACCGGCTGCCTCTGCGGGGAGAACGGAGCTGTCAGCCCGGGAATCCCGCTGGAGAACCCCCCGGGTGGTCCGCATCCCCCCCTCCCCGCCAATAACCGGGCATCCACCCGGCACGCAGCGCTTTGAGGAGGGGTTCAAGCATCGTTCACCACCTCGTCTGTGCTCAGGGAAGGGGATAAGACCCCTCAGAGCTATCTGGGGTGCCCCAGACCCAGTGGCTGGCCCCACCCGATACACCCAGGGATGTGGTGCCCACACTGAGCTGAGCATCCAGGATGGGTGTCCCCAGGAATTTGGGGTCTGAGGGCAGGTGCTCCTGCCACAGGGAGCTGCAGAGCATTGAGGGGTGCACGGGGGGCTCTGGCTTACCTTATGTTTGGGACATCTCAGGGAGAAGCTCTCCTCAGTTAATAAGCAGCCTGCGAGGAGAGGACAAGGATGTGTCAGGGGACAGCCTGCACTGCAAGGCAGCGGTCCACGGCCACCCACCAGCCACAGCGTTTGTGTGAAGGGCTCAGCTGAGGCCACACAAGCTTGTGACACCTGCCAGTGCTGCCAGCACAGTGGGCATCACCACCCTGGCAAGGCAGCGAGCCACAAACCCCTGGCCCTGGAGCAACAGGCCCCACACTGAGCTGGGTCAGAGAGTGGCCAGGACCCCGTGCCCCATCCCTGTGGCCGGGCTCACCTGTGTCGATGGCACACGCGTAGTGGTAGGTGTGGGGACACCCCTTCTGGCAGCAGCCCACGGTGGCTCCTGCTTGCTGGCAGCTCGAGCACTTCTGTACACGCACCCGGGAATTCGGAGCAGGGAAGGAGAGATGTGGAGAGACAGAGAGACCCTGTCAAAGCCCAGCACAGAAGAAGAGAACCACGACAGCCCCAGCAGTGAGGGCAACACGGGTGTCCCTGATCCTCTCCAGCCCCTCCTTGCCTCTTTCAGGCAACATTCTTCCTCCCGTGCCAGCGCACTGTGAACCACACCATGCCTGTCACTTGGTTGTCCGCAGCCATGCACAAGGTTTCTACCTGCCATACCACTCTCCTGAACGACACTGAGCCCACAGCCATACTCCATGGGGCAGGAGGCCAAGGGACATGACCTGGGCTGTGCCCTACCTGCCCCGTCCCCAGCGGGTGCTGCAGGAATGGGAGCACCTGCCTCTGTGGTGAGGGTAGCTGCCTCCAGACAGCCATGAAATGAGCACGCAGGGTTGGGAATACAGCCAGCCCCCAAACCTGTCCCCTTCCTCTCCCCAGCACTAAAAATCCATGTCACAGAATCCCAGAATGGTGTGGAAGGACCTGAAAAAACTCATTCCAGCCCCCTCCCACAGCCACGAATACTAATACTTTCCACTAGAACAGGTTGCTCCAAGCCCCATCCAGCCTTGAACGCTTCCAGGAATGGGCCAGCCACAACTTCTCATCCCCTTCAGCAACCTCCCTGTTTTGCTCACACGATGTGGCCTTACTCCAGCCACTGGGGGAGAGGAGCAGGGCAGGGTCATCTCCTCCCTGCACTTCCCTTTCCCCTGCTGCCCATCACAGTGGCATCAGGCTGTGCTGTGCCCATATTCATCTCCCACCCTGCGGCATCTGTCCTGCTCCGAGCCACCCTGTGCAACACACGACTGGGCCAGGGGATGTGACAATCCCCGGGCCTTCCTAAAACATAAACCATAGGTTATTTCTGTGCTTAAAAGGGAGAGGTCAGGAGCTATCAGAGACGCGGCAGCACAAATCTCGCAGGGACCCAGCAGGGCTCACGGTGCTGAGCACCTGCCCGGCTCTCCCAGGGCAGAACTATTCATTTTCATCCCGACCGGAGGCGCAGACACGGGAACGACGTTGGCTGAAGGAGGCCAGCGGAAGATGCGGCCTCGGGCGTGCGGCCGAGCTCTTACCAGGTCGGCAGCCACCTTGACAGCCTCCTGCAGCCCATAGAGCTTCCCCGCCACCAGGAAAACCCCAGCGGTCCATACGGCACAAGCCTCGTGCAGCCAGTGCTCCTGCGTGTCACCCGCCGGCTCCTGCGGCGGGGACTCGCCCTTGTGACATTCGTGCCGCCGGGGCTTTTCGGCCGCCTCCTCGCCCTCTGTCCTCTCGTCACAGCAGTAGCAGCTCTGCAGCCGACGGAACATGCCCCGCGGGCTGGAGCGCAGCGAGCTCTGCTTGGCTGCCTCGGCGGCCACCTCAGGCCGCGCCGCCTTCCCGCAGCCGCCCTCAGGCCCGCGGGCCGCCCGCTCGGGCACGGCCGAGTCCTCGCCCGGCCCGTCCGCCCGCGCCTTCTCCTTCAGCCGGGATTTCTTCTTGGGCAGGCAGTCCTCGGGGTAGTAGGGCCCGCAGAGGTCCCCCAGGTCCTTGTAGTTGGCGGGGTTGCGGCAGAGGCAGCAGACGAGGCACGCGGCGCTCAGCGCCTTCGACACCACCGGCCCCATGTGCATGGTGGAGGAGGCGGGCAGCGCCGCCCGCGGCCGCGGCGCCGGCCCGGCCGGTCCCCGCTGCAGCCGCGCCTCGTCGCCGGGCGAGTTGACGACGGTGCAGGCGGTGGTGAAGTCTCCGCGCCGCTCTACGCGGACGTAGGGTGCGAAGGGCGGGGCGCGGCTGTCCGCCCGCAGCCGCTTGCAGGAGATGTACTTGAGGCGGATCTCGGGCTCGGCGGGGTGCAGCAGCGGGGCCTGCTGGGGCTGCCGCCGCCGCTTCCCGCGGCTCTTGCAGCGCGCCGGCACCGCCTTGGCCTTGCCGTGGCCCAGGCGCTTCCGCTGCCGCTTGGAGTAGCCGTTGTAGTTGGAGTGGTTGGCCCGCGGCTTCGGGCCCCGCGCCGGCCCGGCGGCGGAGCGCCCCTCCGCAGGGCCGTCGCTGCTCCCCGCCTCCTTCTCCTCAGTCTTTGGTTTCTTCTCCCGAGGCGCCTCCTCCGCACCACCCGGGCCGGCTACGCGCTCCCGGGGCAGTGGTGGTGCCAGTGCAGGGCTCAGGGGTGCCTTGGCCATGCCCAGCGCTGCTGCTTTGCCCTTGCGGTTCCTCTTCTTGGGCAGGAGCCCCATGTTTTTGGCGACCATATTGGGGCTGGACTGGGTCCCTGGCGTTGACCCACAAGCCTCCCCCTGGCAGCCATCATGGGGCAGCTTCTTCCCACCACCCGGCTTCCCCTTTGGTGCTCGGCCATTGGGGTTCCGGCAGAGCGGCTCAGCCACCGGCATCGTGGGCACCTTCTGTGCCGCCCCCAGCCTGGGCAGCCTCGCATCGCCCACTGCCACAGCCAGCCCACTGTGCTTCACCACCCGCTCCGCCCCAGCCGGGCTCAGGGAGGAGCCATAGGCAGCTACTGTGGCTGCCACTGCTGTGGCTGCTGGTTTGCAGGTGAACTTCTTCAGGTTGGGAGAGGTGATCTTCTGGACGATGGCTTCCAGCTTGAGGCCACGGCCCTTGCGGGGAGGCAGCACTTTGGTCTTGGTGGCCTCCTGGAAGGCCGCCCGGGAGGTGATCTTGATGCAGACATCAGGGGCCTCCTTCGGCAGCGGGGGCTTCAGGATGGCTTCGCCAGAGCTCTTGGTGGGCAGCTTGGCTTTCACCTTCTTGGCCACTGGCATCTTCTTGAAGAGGCTGGGGGGACCCTCTGGCTTCTCCTCCTTCACGCCACCACTGTTGCTCCGCAGGACCAGGTTCCTCTTCTTGGTGGGGATGGGGGAGATGAAAGTGGACTTCCTCTTCAGTGAGTGCAGCGGCCGCTCTGACATCTTGCCCCCCACGCCCGGCCCTGCCTTGGGCAGCTTCATCCGGGCACCCACCTTGCCCTCCTTGTGGGGGCTGCCCGGCGCTGGCAGCTTGAAAGCAGATGGGAGGTGGTTGTTGGATATGAGCTTCTTGGGCGCCTTGCAGTTCTTCAGCCGGACATCAGCTGCCCGCTTGCCCCTTTGCCGCTTGGTGTAGAAAACCTCCTGTGTCTTTGTGCGGGAGCGCAGGATCATCGACCGCTGGTCCCTCTCCCCGGCTTCCACCGCGTCCCCCTCCAGTGGTGTCGGCCCTGCCACCTCCTCCGCCACCACCAAGCCGGGCACCAGGAGGGTGGCATCGCTGGCGTTTTGGACCACCCTGGGGGCCGGCCGGCTGTTGCGCTTCCTGGTTTTGAAAGCCACCCGCTGCTTCACGCTGCAGCCGGGTTTCTTCCCCAGCTTCTCCTGGTGCGTGGGAGCCTTCAGTCCCTCCAGCGGGGCAGGGGCACGGGGCTCGGCCAGGGCGGTGAAGGAGCGGGTGCACATGCGTGCTGGCAGCCCCTCGGCTGGAAACCGCGGTGTTTGGCTCTGGGCGCTCTTGCTCGGTACCTCTGTCTGTCCGTCTGGCCCCAGGCAGGCGCCGGCCACACTGCTGGCTGCTGGCAGCTCATCGAAGGGACTCAGCACGGTGCTGCCGGGGCCATCCCCCTCTGGCAGCCGGCAGTGGACCCTCTTGTTGCGGAGGCTCTTGCCCCGTGACACAGGCTCCATCTTTCCCAGCACATTTTCTGGCGTGAGTTGCTGCTTCACCATGACCGATGAGGTGGATTCAGCATCGGCCGCCTCCAGGTGGGATGTCTCCCCTCCGCCATTCTCCTCCTCAGGCTGGATGTGGGGCAGGGAAGATTTGAACCAGCTTTTCACCTTGGTCTCCGTGCCCACAGCAGGGCCCAGGAGGATGACAGACTGGCCAGAGAGGCGTGGGGTGGGAGCTGAGCTCTCCTTCTCCACTGTGCTGACGGTCTCCTCGGCAGACACAGGCACCTCGCTGGAGGACAGCACAGCTGGCATCTCCGGGGGCTTTGGTGGTGAGGCATCGTATGTCACCGACTTCTGCTCCGAGCCAGCCAGCTCACAGAGTGAGGAGTACTCCTCTGCCTCCAGGTCTGACTCCTTCAGATCCGGCGAGGAGATGATGGGGATCTCACTAAAGTCCCCAGCTGAGCAGCAGTGCCGGGTATCCTGCAGCCACCTTTCGCTGTCTGCCTTTGTTGCTTCATCATAGGTCAGTGTCTCCTCCTCCTCCTCCATCACCTGCTGGCCAAAGTCCTGGACCGGCTCACTCTTGGCTGGCTGCTCTCCATCGCACAGGTCCAAGCCGCAGGCGTTTTTTTTCTCCTTGCAGGAGCTCACCAATTTGCTGGGAAACAAGCCCTTGGGGAGGTCGGTGGCCTGGAGATCCTTCCACCGCAGGCAGGCCTCACCCAGGCTCTCCTCCGGCCACTCAAAATGCTCCATGGCATTCTCAGATGCCACCGAGTTGGCGGTGGTGTTTGAGTAGCAGCTGTAGCCAGTGGCTCCCGCGCTTGAGGTCGCTGCTGGGATGCTGGGCTTGGAGTTGAAGGCCAGTGGGGCAGCGTCCTTCAGCACATCCTTGCTTTCGGTGGCTGGAAACTCCACCTGGGGACCCTCGTACACCTCCTCACTAAAGTCCTTCCCTGTGCTGGCCCCTGAAGCTTTGTCCAGCTTGAGGGGCTCAGTGAGCGTGCTGGAGTCACCCTGGCTGGGCCAGGCACCTTTCACCATGGAGTCCAGGCTGGGCCGGTGGTTCTCCATCTGGAAGGGGGACTTGGTGGTCTCCTTGCCCAGCATGGGCAAGTTGGCCCAGGCTTTGTCTGCCTTCTCACTGATGGCATCCTGCAGGACGATGATCTCAGAAGCCAGCTCCTCTTGGGACAGGGCGCTGAGGAGCAGTCGAGGGCAGTCCCGTTCATTGCTCACATACTTGGTGAAGGTCTCCAGGGGCAGGGTGGCGTGGATGCTCTGGAAAGAGTCATCTGATTTGGTGGACATGTCGTCTGGGGAGGTCACAGAGCAGGTGGACACTGACTCAGGCTTTGCCTTGGAGTTGCTGTTGACTCGTGCAGGGCTGCGGTTCTGGTTGCAGTACAGGAAACTCCTCTCCAGCTGGTCCTCTGACCCACTGAGATAGTCAGTGTCCTGTGTCTCAGCGTGGACAGACTGGGGGGTGCTCAGTGGGTCGGACAGGGGGGTCCCCACCTGCTCTGCCGAGTAGGTGCTGCTCTCAGGACTGCAGTGCTGCCCCTTGAGCTGCTCAGGGGTCCTTGCTGGCGTCTTGATGCCCTTTTTCTGGGGCACAGCCGCTTTGGAGAGCAGCAGCTGCTGGACCGTGTTGGAGATGTTCTCCACCTGGGAGGTGAGTGCTGTCAGGCTCTGCAGGCTCAGGTCTGACAGCAGGTTTTCGGGCAGCTTCTCCTTCTGCAAGTTTTTGCAGTTCCCAGATTGAGTGTCAGGGCTCGTCCCGTCAGTGGGAGAAGGGTTCAGCAGCGGCATGAAATGGCTGTGGTCAGCAATGCCGGCCGGGAAGGCACCAGCACTCAGGGGCTGCTGGCTGTATTGGAAGTTCTCCAGGTTGGGCATCAGAGGGGAAGGAGTGGAGCTGTAGGACGGGGACCTGCCGACGGAGCGAGCCGGCGAGTGGCTGGCGCTGGGGCTGAAGGTCTGGTAGTACTGCTCCGGCGTCCGGACGGGCGGCGCATCGCCCTGGCAGTAGGTCTGGCCTGGCTGGTTGTAATGTTGGTACTTGGCCAGGTTTTGGTAGTGGAGGGTCTCTGAGGCGTGATGCCGCCCCTGCATGGGCTGTGGGGGCTGCGGGGGCTGCGGTGGCTGTGGGGGCTGTGGTGGTGGCGGCTGCGGGGGCTGCGGCGGCGGCTGTGGGGGCTGCTCGTAGCCAATGCGGTTGGGCTGGTAGCCGTGCAGGTTGGGCACACGGGGGCCGGGGGCCAGGCTGGCAGCGCTACCCAGGGGCCGCTCCAGCGGCGGCTGCCCCGAGGGCGCCGTGCAGCTCTTGTAGGAGTGTGCCGGCTGGCTGCCCCCCGGCACCGAGGAGTATGTGGAGGAGGCAGGGAAGGACTGGGAGTGCTGCCCGAAGTGAGGGCTCTGTGAGAAGGGCATGGGTGAGGAGACATCGTTGGGCAGTTTCTGCCGCTGCAGCTTGGGGTAGGGGAGCGCGGGCGGCTGCTGCTGCTGCTGTTGCTGCTGCTGCTGCTGCGGCTGCTGCTGGAAGTGAGTCCGGAAGGGCAGCGAGGTGGCCGCCGGCTCATGGTACGGCCGCCCACCCGCCAACGCCACTGTCTTCTTCATCAGGTTGTCCTCATACTTGGCCACGCCGCCGGGCAGTGCCTGCGGCTGGCCACCCCACGCCTGCAGGCTCTCGTCCCCGGAATACCGGGCCGGATAAGGGCTGTTCTCCTGCACAGTGTAATTGGAAAAGGCTGGCCTGCCCTGCAGCTGCTGCCCCGCTAATTGCTTGTTTCCCCGGTGGTATTTCTCCACGGCGCTGTTCTCATAGCCCGCGTAGGGCAGCTGCTGCTGACTGTAGTACTCCTTCGCCACCAGCCTCTGCCGCTCGCAGTTCGGCCCTGCCTGACTTTGATGCCTGTAATTCTCCAGGCGTGATGTATCTTGTGAAGTCGGCTGGTAGCTCTGCTGGTTGCCATGGAAACCACACCTTTCTCGAAAGGACTGCATGGCGCGGGCTCGTTATCTGCGAAGAGAGAGAGGCGAGAATTCAAATGAAGCGTCGCCACCGCGGTGGCCCAGGGTCCGAGAGGGCCAGTGTCACCTGCACCATGGGGACATCGCTGCCTCGCCTCACCTCACCTCAGCTGCTGGGCACTGCCCCACTGGGCATCATCTCACAGCTGCCCTGGAGCACAGCACGCGATGCTGCATCACCTCTCACTGCCCTGCATTGTCTGGTATCACCCCGTGGTGCATTGAATTGCCTGCGTGGCCTTGCACTGCTCTCCAACGCCTCACCTCATGTTTCACCTCCCTGCATCTTGTTGCCTTGCATCACCCCAAACTGCATCACCCAGATTTGCCCTGCATTTCATCACCCTGATTCGCATCACCCTGCATCACATTGCTTTGCCTCATCCTGCATCACATCACTTTCCATTTTGACTCCCTGCATTGTGTTGCCTTGCATTGCATCCCCCTGAACTGCATTGCCCTGCACCACCTCCTCCTACCTCACCTCACATCACCCTGCACCACAGCACCTTACATTTCATCTCCCTGCATCATGCTGCCCTGCATTGCATTGCCCTGCATCTCATTGCCCCGTGTGGCATCCCACTGCCCTGCGTCCCACCCGTGTGCACTGCGCCGCCCCGGCTGGCAGCAGCTGGCTCTGTGTCACCTCGCATCACTCTGCATGGTGCTGTGTCTCCCTGCATCACACTGCCTGGGCGCTGCACCCCACCTTGCAGCGTCCTGCATCCTCCTCTATCCCCTCTCCCTGCATGGCAGCACGGTGCCCATGGGCAGGAGCGTGCTGGGGGCTGGTTGCCTCCTCCCCATCTTCAGTGGGCCCAGCCACCCTCCTGTCCCTGCTGCTGAAGCTGCTCATCCCTCCCTGCCTGGTCACCTGGTGCAGTGACCCCCCCAACATGTTGGGGTCCCTCTGCTTTGTGTTTCACACATCCACCACCCCTCACATGCACAAATCACTCCCGCCCTTCTCACACACCTCCCCAGGGATGCCGAGATCCTGCGAGCGCCTCTGCACACCCCTCTTATCGCCATTCTTTTTAATTATTGGGCTAATTACTGGAAGCAGCAGCGCAGAGGGCCAGAACCGCAGGCTCTGCTGCAAAAAAAGTCATTTCAACTTGCTGGCTCTGCCCGTCTCTGCCGGCTGCTGCCTCCCGCAGCCCCCCCGGCCCCAGCGATCCCCCTGCCCCGGCGCGATGCCATCTGGAAGCTGTCTGCTCCCGCCAGCAGCCGTCATTACTGAGCTCCTTGCCACCATCGTCACTGAAGCTCCCCATTTCCTTCCTCAGCCCGCTCGCTCTGGGAGCAGGGACACACCTGGGTCACTGGTTTGAGCTCTTAAGGCAGTCAAGTGGCTTGTGGGGGCTAATGAAGAGCGTGGTGGCACGGGGCGCATCCTGCCTGTCCTCAGTACCCGTGGGCTGAAGGTACTGGGGTGCACACAAGCCTGGATGAGACAGAGATTTGTCAGCCTGGGTTAGGGTCTGTGGCTGTCCAGGGACATCCCCAGTGCTGCTCCCTTGGCAGTGACACAGTGGTGACAACAGTGCTGTCCCCTCAGCCTCCATCAAGGCAATGAGTGTAACGAGAGGAGGGCACAGGGTGCTGGCAGTATCTGTCTGAGCCCAGCTCCTGGCACACTTCCCTGTGGTGCCAGGCAGCCTTGAGCTGGAACATGGATTCATGTGTGTCCCCACATGTCCCTCCATCACCCTCATGCCACTGCCACAACATGTCAAACACCACATGGTCCAGTGCCACAGCCACATAAACCACACTGCTGGTTTGACAGGTCCCAGATCGGCCCTTTTCCTTGCAGCACCCACCAGTAACACCTCAGCACCTTTTTGGGGTCTACATGCACATGGGGCTTTATTTAATTCTATTTCCACAAACACCAGGTGCTCAGGCATGCACCAATCACACAGTGTCCTCGGGCACCACCGCAGCCAGGCTCAGTGCCACCCACACCAGCCCAGCACCTCATCCCTCCCTGTTCCCCATCCCTTTCTGGGATGTTTTCCATGTCACTGCCACATATTGCAGGTGCAATATGTTTTGTGGGAAACTGCATGTAGCTAAAGCCTAAATTCCAGGGAAATGATGGGTCCAAAAATCTGGAAAGCTGGCGCAAAAGCCCCTACCACAGCATGGTATCCTGTGCCAGTGCTGCTGGAACAAAGGCAGGAAAATCAAAGCCAGGCTGTGGGGCAGCCCTGGGCTGTGGTGGGAGAATTAATGGGAGCAACGAGCCCTTCATGCTGTGTGGGAGTGGGTTTGAAAAATTAAATCCGCTTGAGAAGACCCTGTGCTGAAGCTTTAGGGGGAGCTTTTCTCCCCTTTCTCCTTTATTATTAATTATCGTGATTAATTAATTATTATTATTAATTAATTGTTAATTTTCCAAACAGCTGGGACAATGTTGGGATGAGCAAAAGCGCAGGGTGCGAGGGGAAGGATCAGTCACCGGCACGCAGAGGTGGGGATGCACAGAGGGAACAACAGTGCTCCAGCTGAAATCCCACACGCCCAAAGCCACAGTCCCATGTCCCTGTGGGCCACCCGGGCACCAGGCTGTCCCTGGGAGGGGACACTCATCACCAGCAGCACCCGGAGCCGCTGGCAGTGCCAGAGGCCAGCTCTGCTGTCGGGGAAGGGCCGTGCCAGATGTTGTGCCTGATGCAGGCTGCTTCCAGCAAAAGCTTTAACGGCATCAAATCAAGCTGTCGACAGCAGGGAGGTTACAGCCTTCCCCCGGAGAGGGAGGTGGCTGTGGCTGGCCCCAGGGGCCCTGCCCACTCGCTGTCCCTGCCACGTCCCTGCTGGATGTGCTCTCCTGCCCCTGAAGAAGTTTCCAGCCACTGCCTCTCAGATGGGAATCGATACGGGGCTGTCGGTGCATGGCTGAGGCTGGACACCTGCCCTTGGCAAAGCCGTGCTGTGCCCAGGGCTCATGGATGGTGAAGGGAGAGGGCAGGGACGTGGGGCCACCACAGTGACCAGCCCTGGCATGACCCTGTCCCTGGAACACAAGGAGCAGCACTCACTGCTGGCTACAGCCAGAGCATCCCATCCCCTTTTCCCAAGGGAGCAGGGACAGCCCAGCACAGCCCCTGTGTCACTCATGGGGGACACACAAGGACCTGATGCACCTCCCTGATGCGCCAGGGATGCCCGGGGCCATGATGGTGCCGGGGGCTGATGCATGGCATGGGCTGATGCCAGGAGCCGAGGTGGGGCAAAGTGGCACTGCCAGGCCAGCATAGCCCGCCTGCTGCTCGGGAGGATTTGTGCTGCATGGCTGGATTTCGTGTTATTTTCCTTCCTTCCTTCCTTCCTTCCTTCCTTCCTTCCTTCCTTCCTTCCTTCCTTCCTTCCTTCCTTCCTTCCTTCCTTCCTTCCTTCCTTCCTTCCTTCCTTCCTTCCTTCCTTCCTTCCTTCCTTCCTTCCTTCCTTCCTTCCTTCCTTCCTTCCTTCCTTCCTTCCTTCCTTCCTTCCTTCCTTCCTTCCTTCCTTCCTTCCTTCCTTCCTTCCTTCCTTCCTTCCTTCCTTCCTTCCTTCCTTTCCTTCCTTCCTCCATCCCTCCCTCCCTCCCTCCCTCCCTCTCTCCATCCATCCATCCATCCATCCCTCCATCCTTCCCTCTATCCCTCCATCCCTCCCTCCCTTCCCTGCCTTCTCCCCTTCCTCCCCTTCCTCCTGCCTGGCAGGGACATGCCATGGCTGGATCTGGAGCCCTCTGAAGCATCCCAGGACTATCCATGGCAGAGACCCTGGGTAAGCCCCAAGACCCCCAACCCCCAGCCCCGTGGGGCAAGAGGAGCCCCCTGTTTCCCTGGCCTTGCTTCCCAGCTGCTGCTCATCCCGCGGGGCCGATCCAGCCCTGCTGCTCCTCCGCTGCTCCCTCTTCTTCGCTGCTGTACCATCAACAAGGACTCGGCGACTAAAAATAGCAGCGTGCTCTCGCAGGGGGATGCTCTGCCATCAGAGCACTGCTGGCACCGTCCCCACCCCAAACCCCCGCCACAAACCCCCTCCCAACCCTCGTCCCACTCCCAGGGGTGCAGCCCCAGATGGTGAGGTGGTACCGGAGCTGGGAACGAAGCGATTGGACCCCCCTGGATCCCCCGGCAGCTCTCAGGGAGGGGAATAAGCGCCTATCGAGTAGCGTCAGCCCCGGATTTGTTTAATTGTGAGCTGGTGGAGTTTAAAGAAACCCTTTCTGGCTGGCTGCCACACCGCAAAGTGCTCCGGAGAATTTGATTATTAAGGGAGGAGAGAAAAGGGGAGGCTGCGGGGGAGGGGGGGAGCCGGGGTGTGTGGGACAGACCAGGAAAGGGCATCCTGCCTCAGGAGCTGGGAATGAGAGGAACTGGGGGCATGGAATACAGGCAGACCCCCCTCAGCAGTGCAGAGGGACCCCAGGGGCTCGCCCGGGGTGGGGGCAAACCCTCCACGCAGTTGTGGAGCTGCTGCTGTTTGTCCTGCACCCCACAGACACCCCAGGGCATCCCCCGTTCAATGCCCCCTAATGTGAACCCCTTTAATGCATCCTCTCCCCAGTGCAGCCCCCCAGTGCACCCTTTTACTGCACTGTCCCGCAACAAACCCCTTTAATGCACCCCAATAATGGTCCCCCTCCCCAGTGAACCCCTTTAATGCACCCTGTCACCACTGCACCCCTTCAAACACTCTCACTAGTGCACCCTTGCCCCAATGCACCCCAGTAATGCGCTCTCCCCGCAGTGCACCCCTTTAATACCCCTCCCCAATGCCTCCCACCAGCACCAGCATCCCCCAGCAGGGCAGTGCTCCATCCCAGCGCAGCGGCCGGGGGGTTAGGGTACCCCAGGGCAGCCGCAGCCCCTCGCAGCCCCCCCAGCCCCACGTCCCGCCCCATTTCGGCGCTCAGCCGAGCGCAGCAGCTGCTCCCTGCACACTTCACTTGCCCGCAGATGATGATAAATGGAGCTGGGGCTGCGCCGC